ACACAGTTTGTACACCCTTTACAGGGAGGGTGAGGTTCCGATACGTGGGTCCAACATGTCGTAAGTTGTCCTGCCCAGGTTGTATAACATGAGGCCAAACATGAATGTGCAACCAGTTTGGTCTGGGGTCCGTGATGTCCTTTTATCTATTTCAGCTTCAGAACATTCAGAGAAATGGGGGATGAAGGTTTCAGTCTGCTAATAACACACTGTCTCTATAACACCATCTTCCTCATGCCATTCCCCTGCTTCAGCCTGGGGTACCTCCCATGGGAGACAGACCATTAACTCCTTCAATGTGGGTCACTCCACGTGCTGCTCCAGTGTGAATCCTTTCTGTGAAGTGCAGTCCTTCAGGCCACCTGGTGCAGTGTGGGGTCCTTCATGGGCAGCAGGTAGGTATCTGTACCACTGCGGACCTCCATCGGCTGCAGAGGGACAACTGCCTCATGGTCTCCTCAATGGGCTGCAGGGGAACCTCTGCTCTGGTGCCCAAAGCACCTGCTCCCCCTCCTTCTTCATTAGCCTTGGTGTCTGAAGAGCTGCTTTCACTCTTCTCTCTCAGAGCTGCTCCACAGGATTTTTAACCATGTTTTTTAAACAAACTATCACAGAACTGTCACTGGTGGTTTCAGCTTTGGCCAACATCTTTTGGAGTCAGCTTAGAATCAGCTGTGTGAAAGAGACATCCCATGGTCTCTTCTCACAGAAGTCATGACTGCAGCCCCCTTGCTAACAAAATCCTGCCAACGCATCTGTTCTGTCTCTCTTACCCCAGTCATTTGCAGAATATGCATATTTTTGTATTTTACCTTCAGGGATCTCAAAGTAAAATGTAGAAATCAAGGCTGCTTTTAAAATGAATATTACATTTGCTATTTGAATCAAGTTCCCTAACACATTATTTCCTTGTTTTCAATTTTGGCTTTAAACTTTGGCAAGGTTCTGGTAGATTGACAGATTTATTTCTATCATCAGCCAGTGCAAAGGAGGCTGAAAGGAGGAACTGGGCAGCAGCGTGAAGGCCAATATAACTACAGTTCAATTTCATTCAATTTCTAAGTGAGATAAAAGAGTCAAGGCAGTATCAGCAAACATATTGCATCTGTGAAAATGGTCAAATGGGTCACAAACATTTTACATATTTTGTGTTTACACATTTTGACTTTTTTTTGAGAAAACAGATGAAGCAGTAACTGAACAGGGGAATCTTCAACAGACCTTTATTAACATCTTCAGTCTTTTCTAAAAGCCATCTTTTCAGGGAGAAAAATTAAGAGCCAGCAAGTCAGTTTTCCTGATTTGCATTAGCTGTACACATACACCCATAAGCCATATTACCTCACACTGATGTGGGACTGTAAAGCCATGTTGGAGAATCAAACTGATAGTTGTGTTCTACATGCACGTCCAGCCTTAGCATGTTAACTCCTCTACATACAACCACAGCTAAAGCTAATGAAAATGCTCTGGCCTGGGTCTTTATCTAAGCTACCATCATGGGGTTTGTTTTCCTGTCAGTCACTGATCATAATCAGCCATGGTTGATACTTCTCCGTAGCTGACCAATTCATTAGTGAGGCAGCTAACAGCAGGGAAGCATCCCCAGTGAGTCTGGACCTGCCCTTTACAAAACCTCTTTAATGGTTCAAGGGTCGTTACTAATTCATGGTAATGATTTCTGTTAACTTGTGTTTCTGCCTTTCAATCTGCTACTTTACACAAAAGAGCTTGAAATGCTTTTCAGGTAGCATGACTGCCAGGGGCATACAAAAAAATTTAGCTGGAAAAAGAGAAACTTCAGCTGTTCCTTTATTAGTTTGACCTAGAAGCTGTTAGGTCTGACAGTGTCCAACCAGACTTTACTATCCCTTCACTTTGTCATTCAATATCTGAACAAGGAAAGCGAATTTGTGTTGTGTCAGATGTAACCTGAGCCCACAAGCAGAATTACTAAATTTAATTGAGTAATTATTCAATGGGGAATTGAGCCTGCTCCTGAGAACAGCCTTAAAACTGGTGTGACATTCAGGATGTATAGTGCTTGTCTTGAACAATTCAAGAGATCAGTGGTGTACTTAGGCACTCAGGATATCTGTTGTTTGCCTTGAGATATCTAAGAGTAAAACAGGATTTGTTGATGGACTAAAGAGAAACACCAAACTGTCTTGCTCCCCCTTCCGATCGGTAGCTGAGTTCAGTGTGGGACATGATGAGATTGGAGACAAAGTAGTTCTACAGCTGGTGCTGGGAACAGAATATCCAGTGATAACCAGGCCTCGATAGCTCATGAAAACCAGTGAGTTTTTTAGTTTTATTTTCTCAAAAACGGAATTGAGACACTGTGTGTCGTGTGATGGGATTTGATAGATGTTTTCTGATATAGTTTACACAGTATATGTTGTCTGACCCGGATCATGTGCCATGTGTTGTGTGACTGTTTTTTTTCTGTGGAATCCTTCATTTTGACAGATATTTGATACATTCATATTGCGTTTAAAATTTTACCTCATTTTCTATTTCAAGAATAAGTTGTCATATACATATATGCAGATATCTTACTGCTGTTGAGGTAGAACAATTTAGCTTGTTATCGTTGTGGAAGTTGAATAAGGTATTGGTAATTACAATCCCTTTCTATTTTGTGCAAATTTTCTCATACATGAAAAAGGGGCATCATATTAACTTTCTATCCATCAGGCAGCTACCACTGGATTCTGTTTCCTACATCAAAATTCTGTGAAGATCCACTGAAGTTCTAAAAAACACCCCATCCTGCACCACCAGCTACTTGGTACTTCAATATGAATCTAAACTTCATCTAGGTTTAGAACACTGTGGCACAATGTGTATCACTTATATTTAATCATCCTCCAACTTAAGGCGAGAAGAGGTATAACACATATGGGGGATAGGGGGTTGAAGGGGTGGAACTGCCTGTGGCTTCTTTAGTCTTGCAGAAAATTTTATTTCTAGGTAAGACATCTTCCTTTGCAGGCTGGAACAATTGCTTTTTTGCATGGTGCCAAGAGCAACAGATCTAAAAGACCATTCCGTTGATTTAGTTGTTCTCATTAGGCAGACCTGGACAGCTCCTTGCCTTGGGCGTTAATGAAAGGATTTCTGCTTTACTGCATAAGGAGACTCAGTGCCTAACTCAACATTTTCAAATTCCATCCAGAGACCCGGGAAGCACTTTTAAGTGACGCCGCACCCTGCCCCATTGCTTTGTGTATAGAGCTGAGAGACTGTGTATGTATTAATTAACAAAGAAAATATATTAATTACTGAATACATAAGCTAAATTGATTGACATGAATGAAAGCTAAAACAACCAGAAGGACTGCCTTTGAACTCTTTATTGGCACAGCCGAATGGGAAGTTGTTGACCACTCACCATCACCATCTACCATTGAAGCAAATGCTCCTTCTCTCAAATTCAATTTGAAGGCTGCCTACCAGCAATGTCTTTGCACTTTAAACTTATGTAGCACACCAACTGGAAAAAAACGGATTTGCTTAGGCAAAATGTGGTATCATGATCT